GTACAAATGTGACCTTTTCTTATTTAGTAGACAACTGCTGATTACAACATGGTATGAAATTTTTCAGCTGAATTAAATATACACCTAGGATTAAAAAACAAAACAAACAGAATTCCTGTTAATAAAGAGGTATTTTATTCCAAAACTCTAAATATCAAAATCAACTCAATACTTACAGTTTTCATTTTATCCAATCATAGTATTTTGAAATTGTATACCTATACAGTAAAATGCAACCTAATAACATAATTCCAATTTTAATTAGGATGAAAAGAATAACTTGAAAAGAAAACCATAGCTGAACAGCTATATACTTGTTATCAGTACAAAATTACCTTTTTTGCAAGATTTATAATTTAATAAAAATAAGGTGACTTCAAATGTATATTGCTCTCCTTAAATGTACCAAAGACCTTTGAAAAAAGTTGATAGTTACTGGAAATAGTCCCATTTATGTTACAAGTATTTACTACATAACTAAGAAACCCAAAGTGCAGCACACATTAGTATGTTAATTTTCTGCTTGTGCAAACAAGGTTCTACTGATTTAATGCACAAGCAAAACCAAAAAAGGCAAAAATATTCTATGACAAAGAGTAAAACGTTACATTTTCAAAATATTTGCATTATAGAAAAAAAAGGTTTCCTTCGTGGACTAGAAAAGGCTACCTAAACCTGTAAGGTTTTTTTAAGATTCAAATGCTACATTAGATCTTCATTTATTTTGCAAAAGCCAAGGGTCAATTTACTTAACCTAAATGCAGCATATTAGGAGAAGGACACTGCATAAAGAGTTAGATTTCCTGTGTTATCCAAAAACTCGACACATTGGAAAAAACAGATTGAAATACTAAATAACACTCACATGAAACAGTAGTAGCACTAGTTAACCCCTTACTGTATAGTCTCTAGTCAGATTTTCCACAGTGGACTTAAAGGATATTGTACCGATTCTCAGTAGCTCAAGAGTTAGTAATGGATACACCTTATAATATACATCATGTTTCACCCAATGTGGGTGATGGATAACTTTCTATAGCATTCATTTATGATCTCAATTTAACACATTATTTTTGATCATGTCTTTAAAAATACTGACCACTGCAAGGCAGAAATGCTACATCCCTTTTTAGGCAAACAAAAATAAACAGACAACTTGGCAGTGAACTAGATCCGATCATGTTATATTGCACTTGGAAACTAGAAGCTAGAGATTCAGTACCAAAGAGTTCAGATCCCACTCACATCAACAACAGTTATTAGAGCTCAGCATATAATCATGATCCAAACTGTGGGATTTGCTTGTGATAGGAGGCCAACAGAACACTCATGGGCTCTTCCCATCTTAGAAAAAGACAAGCAAAAAAACCCCATTTCTTTGCTGCAAAAGGCATATCCGTGGGCTGCCATCACCCTTTAACATTTATTTTTTTTGCATTCCATTATCCTTTTGTAAAACCCTATTTTTTTTTACTCATTAACAGCCAGCAGCACTGACACAAAGGGTCACATTGAAAGGCAGTTGCAATGAATGTCAGGTGTTCTGTGACTTCATTAGGCTGCGGAAAAAGGTCTTAGCCTGGACCTAAGACAACAACTGACTAGATTTTCATGAGGGTAATGCTGCTCTGAGACTGCCATGTCTGTTCAAGGGTAATCAACAGCAAAACCAGATGTAAAATTCCAAGTGCAACATGAATCCTTCAAATTGTCAAGAATATGCTGATTATAGCCAAAATATTTTCAAAAAACCCATGAGTTTTACCTTAAAGACAAGCACAGACATACATTTAGAAACTAAATAATAAAAATCTTCACTTGGAATAAATGTTTTATAGAGAAAGAGCATATATAATGAATTTTCTTATAATTTAAATGTGTTATGGGAATCAAAGATTAACATGTAAATAAAAAGTTTAGAAAGAAAAATGGGATTAAGAAAAATATAAACTTGATGCTGATATCTGAAAACATCTCAAACATTTCAACTTAGATTGTTAAACTAATATGAGAACTGACTGTGTAGTTAGGCTTAAATAAAAGCTACCTCCATCACTTGATAGTTTCTTGAAAAATGTAAACCTATAAATTAGGTCCATTGCTTTATATTTCCTAAATATTGCCAAATATAATAGATAATATGCATTTTGTAATATAAATAGCTTCTTTGTATTGATCATTAGATGCTGCAATAACGGCCAACAGGAATAATTACAGAATTTCATTATAAAAGATACAGCTCTTTTAAAATATTTTCATTACCTAAATAATTACATGGCAGTTGATTTTATATTAATAAAAATAAGCTTCTGAAACATAACTCTCTAAAAGAGGACTAATTATCTTGGGTTTTTTTTTAATGCTTGCAGCATGCATCTTATGCACCTTATGCACATCAATTTTGACTCAAGGGCATAAATGTAATTTCAAAATACATTTTTAAAGTTTCTCTCAAAGTTTTAACCTTGTTCTACTATTTTTACTACAAAAACACACCAAAGCCTGTAAGTCATTATAAAATTTATACTGACACGAGTATACATATGATCTAATATTATTGCTGAATCTAGAATGTGGCATCAAAGGGTTGCTGCACTCCCACTTAGGAAAACATACTGTTCAGAATCTTGCTGAAACATAAATGTTACTTTGAACTGAATTGAGGGTTTTATATCCATGTTCACTAAGTAACATGTATACTTCATTTCCATATGCTTGTTGTTTGCTGTTTTTAACCAAACTGGAGATTAGTGCACATGGTAAAAGCAAGTGTTTGCTTTAACTGCCCAGTAGAATGTAAAGAAATAAAGAACACTTAAATAATTCTTACTTTATGCAACCTCTATAAATGGAAGAAGCTTTCCATAGCTACAGTAGTTGTACCAATAAAATGTACCTTTTTATCCTGAAAGTCAGTAAAATGACAGTTTCCAGTTGCCAGAGTAAAATTAAGATGTAATTGGTACTGACATAAGCAATCCTACAGTATCCCTTCCATGTGAGCTGAAGAGATCTCGATCATGCTGCTTTCTTTTCATCTCTTTCTAATGCCTAGACATGCAAGTAGTTTAATAAATTTCAAGTCAACACAGTGCATACATATAATGAAAGGACACATGTAAGAATTAGAGCTATCATCTGACAGTCTCTTAAACCTCTCAGCCTAGTAAGATTAAGACTGGGTAAAACCAATCTTCTTGCATATAATCAATTGCCAAAGCATGTGAACTTAGAAGCCTGTGTAAGTAACTGAAATTATATTTTATAGAAGTCACATCTGGAGTCCAGGATCAAAGCCCAATTCCTGATTCTTTATTGTATTACTAGTAACAACACTAGAAGTGAAAAATGAAATCTTTGCCAAAATGAAGACCTTGACAATTCAGTGAAAGAGGAATTATGCCATATACCCTCTTATCAACTTATCTTAACTAAACAAATTGTCTAAACCAAAAACATGTAAATGGATAACTATGCAAGCCTAGATCTGACACATA